CTCACAGAGATCCAGAGGGATTTCTATCTCTGGAATGCTAGGATTAAAGGTGTGAGTGCCACCATTTTCTAGCCTTTGTATCTAGTGGCTGTCTGTTTTCTGACCCCAGATAAATTTATTAGAGTACACAATATTTTGGGGAACACAATACCACCACAGGAAGATGAGGCCTCTGTTGTTACCTTTTTGGGGTCTAGTTCTATGCTTTATGGATCCAGAACTTTTTCGCTCCATCAGCTTTTGGGGGGCTTTTTACTTTTTGTTTACTCAGATCTCCCAAGAATTGATGGCTGATGCTAACTAATACAGCTACTTATAAGTATTAGTACAATTCTGAAGAATGCTCCTACCTAGTGAATCAGTGCTCTGGTTTAGTGGGCTGATGAGACGGAGCCCACTCTAACTGAGGAGCTGCAGCAGCTTCTGACGGAGACCCAGAGTCATGGACTCTCTTGACCACACACACACACATACACACACACGAGGAGCTTCAGGCTTTGTTTGTGTCTTTTTCCATAAGACAAATATGATGCCAAGTTAATGGATTGACTTGATTGATGCTTCCTTAAGGAGTCCTAATGCATTGGTGATTATATTACTATTTAAGGTTTCCTCCTCAGTGTACAGTAGCATAAACTGATAAGTCAGTAATCTTGGCATGACACAGCCACAGACTCAGAGTTTGTGTCTGCCAAATAAAGTCTTAAATGAATGAATGAGACCTTGCCCTTAGAAAGAAAAAAAGGCAACAAACTTGGTTTGAAGGTGGAGAACATGGCTGAGACAATGGAATGCTTGCCTAACATGCATGAGCGCTGGGTTCAGTTCCTAGCACCTAGGAAACAGATCAGAAATTCAGGGTCATCCTCAGTACAGAGTGAGTTTGAGGCCAGCCTGGGATACATAAGACTTTGTTTCAAAAACAAAACAAAAAACAAAACCAAAAAATTTTCTAGCTTAAATATGAGTAAGATATATAATACATGTGTGAAAATGATGTGGTGAAACTGTTGATTTTATGTGTGTGTGTGGGGGGGGGCTTTTCAAGACAGGGTTTCTCTGTGTAGCTCTCGCTGTCCTAGAACCTGCTCAGTAGACCAGGCTGACCTCGAACTCACAGAAATCTGCCTGCTTCTGCCTCCTAAGTGCTGGGAATCGAACCCAGACCATCATACCCAGTAAGCAAGGACTCTTGGCATGGAGCTCATGCTCTGTTTTAAAAGGATTTTATTTCCTAACTAGGGTACTGTGTATCATGGCTTTGAGGAAGGCATTGTTTTGGCTGTTGTGTTTGAAAAGATTTCCCTTGGTTTTGTTTTTTAAAACGATAGCTCAAGGGTTTGGGAGACACTCCGTAAAAGCAATTTCTGCCAAGCCTGAGGACGTGAGTTCAGTCCCTGAACTCCACAGGTAGGAGGAGAAGACCAGCTCCTGCAGGCTGTCCTCTCCCTTCCATACGTAAGCCACTGCGTGCTCATGTCCCTCCTACCCCCACACACAAGGAAAGAATTGAATAAATACAGTAAAAGTGAAAGTTGGAAAGCTGGATGTAGTGGCTTACTCCTGGAATCCCTGAACTTGGGAGGCTGATGCAGGAGGATTGCTAAATGTTAGAGCCCAACACAGCTAGAGTGACAACCCACCCCCACCCCACCCCAGAAAAAGAAGAAAGGAAAGAAGGTAGTTTTGGAAGCATAGCGTGTTGTGGTGGCAGCATCTGCCTTCACCGTGCTTCCTGGTACTCGGGAGTCTGAGGTGGAGGACTGCAAAGTCCATGCGAGCCAGAGCTGTGTACAGAGGGGCTGGCTCAAAAATAATAATAATAATAATAATAATAAATAATAATAATAATAATAATAAATAAAATTGAAATGAATTGCTTGTTAATTACATTAACTTGAGGTAACAACATTTATTTTGATTTTATTATATGAAAATTATTTTTCTTAACAAAATTAAAAATGCTTTTCTGTATATTACAGCCTCAACAAGAGCTTGACTTAAGCTCTCCACGATCTACCACCGCAGAAAGACAGACCTTCTACTGTGTCCCAGTGCCTGGGGAATCTTCATGGGTCAAAGAGATATCCTTCATCTCAACCTTACTATCTGCTGAATGAGTCTTAATTTTTTTTTCTTAATTTAAATGATCACTGTTCAGACTAGATTTGTAATCTTTTTACCTTGGTGACTTTAGTTAGGAAAAAATGTTTTCTTTAGTAAGACATAAATTTAAGTATCCATCACAGAAAAATATCTAAATTATGATACATCCCTATAGTGAAATACTATTAAAATAGATTGAGATAGGTTTATAGGTACTTAAGTATTATGATAATAAGAAAAGTGTACAATTTTGAATTAGAATGCATTCTAATTTTTCAAGTTTTTTAAGTTTTGTATGTGTGTGTTTCTGCGCGAGTTTATGTGTACTACATGCTCACAGGAGCCGATGGAGAAGCTGAAAGAGAATTACACATCCTTTTGAACTGGAGTTATAGGTGGTTGAGTGGGTACTGGGAACAGAACCTGGGTCCTCTTCAAGAGCAGCCAGTGTTCTTAACTACTAAGCCATCTCTCCAGCCCTAGTAAGCTGTATCTTCGAATACATGTTTCAATCATTTAGTTAAAGCTGTTCAGTTTAGGGGGGTGGTTTGTTTTGTTGGTGGTTATGTTTTTTTATTTTGTTTTAAAGATTTATTTATTTAGTGTACATTGGGTTTTTGCCTGCATGTATGAGGTTGTTGGATCCTCTGGAACTGGAGTTACAGACCGTTGTGAGCTGCTGTGTAGGTGCTGGGAATTGAATCCGGGTCCTTTGGAAGAGCAGCCAGTGCTCTTAATCAGTGGTTATGTTTTGAGGCAAGGTCTAATACAGCTCAGTGCAGGCCTTCAGCTCCTGGTCCTCCTCCAACTGCTGGGATTACATCCTGAGCCTCCAAGCCTGGCCAAACTTGGACCTTTTAAACCTTTGCATAGTGTTTTCTGTCTCCTTTAGTGCAAATGGGTTCTCCGGTTTTGGTTCTTTGGTCCTCAGTGCTTGCTTTATTTTTCTTCCCCTGAAGACAAATGTTGCCAGGAGTTTGCCAAATGCCCTCTCTAATGCTCTCTGGTTTCTGCCTCCTTTGATTCCTACCCTTTCCTTTTATCTCTTTCTGTCTGTGTTTAGCTTTTCTTTCTTTTCCTTTTTGTAGAGCTGAGGATTGGATCCAGCCCCTTTTGCGTGGTAGGTAAGCACTCTGCCCCTGACCTGCATCTGCAGCCCCGGAGTTTGTTTTTCTGGTTCTTGAGCGAAACACTCAGTTACCAATTTCAGGTTCTCTGGTATTGGCAGTTAGAATAAATAAATTCTTTTAATATTAGAGCATTAAATCCCTCTAATCACCGCTTCCTTGTGATCTCTTGATCTCTGACGTCTCAACAGTGTCATTCTGTGGTCTCCCTCTCTTTCTTTTTCTGTCATCATGTATTTCATTTGTCTATAAACTGTAGAGCCCCTGTTACTGGAATTTGTTTGTTTATGTGTAGGTTTTTTTTTTTTTTTTTTTTTTGCCTACATGTGTGTCTGTGCACCAGGGGCTTGCCTTGTGCTCTCAGAGGCTAGAAGGGGATATTAGATCCCCTGGGGCCGGAGTTGGAGTTAAGGACAGTTATCGGCCACTGCATGGACGCTGGGGATGGAAGCAAGACCCTCTCGAAGAGCAGCCAGTGCTCTTGACCATTGAGTCATCTTCCCAGCCTGCTTTAAATTAATTCATTTCTTTCCTTCCTCATCTATTTGTAAGGAAATGTTTAGGAGAGGGCATTGACTACCCAGGAGCTGGAGTAACAGGCAGTTGTGAGTCGTCTGATGTTAGTGCAGGGAAATGAACTCTGGCCCTCTGTAGAAAACACAGTAGGTACTCCTAACTGCTGAGCCATCTCTCTGGCCCTTTGTTTTAACAGTCACCTGTCTTCTGTATAAACTGAGAAGAAGCTACATCATTTATACTTGTGAACATACTCACTATCTCCGATTCTCTTTGTGTGAAATTATTTCCCTTAGACCCTCCCCCTCCTTTTTTTTTTATTTTTTTTTAAGAACAAGTCTGAGGGTGGTGAATTCCTTCATGAAAGTTCAACTCTTTTCAGCTTCCATTTTTGACGGAGATTTTCATGAAATGTAAAGTTCTTGACTGACACACTTTGTTCAGCCGTGTTTTAATGATAGAGTGCCGCTCTCTCGGCCTCCGCTCCTTCCTGCTGAAAGGTTAGCTATCGTTCTCATTATCCCTTTGTGGAGTGTGTCTTTTGTGCTCTTTGCTGCTTCTCAGACCATCTCTCTCTTTTGTTGGCAGCCTTTTAACTATGGCGTGCCTGGGTGTGGATTTTTCGGTTTGGGAGTTTGGGGGTCCCCCTGCCCTTTTCTTGGGAAATGTGCTTCTCTTAATTGGGTTTTGTTGAACTTTCCAGTTTGTGAATATTTTTCAGCAACAAATTTAGGCATTTCTTCAAATATTTTTTTCTGTCCTAATCTCAGTATGTGAAACACGGATTAGACTGAATGAGTGAGAGTGTGTGTGTGTGTGTGTGTGTGTGTGTGTGTGTGTGAGAGAGAGAGAGAGAGAGAGGGGGGGAAGTGCTGGAGTTTGTTTGTTGTTTGTTAATGCATGCTCTGGGGAAGCAAGCTCTATGGTCTGAGCTCTCTTCCCAGCCCTTTTTTGGAATGTCAGTCACATAATTATAAGACTACCTGATCTTTTATTTTCATAGTCATCTTTTGTTCATTTTTGCTTGTTTGTGTTTTAAATCCCCTTGCTAGAAGTTGAGCCCAATTCCTTAGAAGCAGGCAAAGCATTCTCCCACCGAGCACACCCACTTATTGGAGTTTTGTTTTGTTGTTTGATGGTTTTTTGGTTTTTTGTGGGGTTTTTTTTGCCTCATTCTGCTTTAGTTGGATTGTTAATGTTAACCTGTGTTCAGGTTCCCTCCTTTGTAGTTGGTTTGTTTTCCCTCCATCCCTGTCTGTGATCAGGCCACTGGTGTCTGTGTGTTTTGAGTGGTCTGGGGTGGGGCAGGGTCACAGGTAGGTAATTTGGGGTTTGTTGTTGTTTCCCTCATTTCACATTGTCTATTTTCAGATTCATTTTCCATCTGGTTATTTCAGTGTTTCTATTTCTCTGTGAATATTCCTCATCTGTTTACTCATCATCTTTTGGTTTTTGAGATAGTATTTTGTGTATCCTAAACTGGGCTTGAATTTGCCTTATCTCCAAGAATGACGCTGAATTTCTGATCATCCTGTCTCCACCTCTAGAGTGCTGGGATTACAGGCTTGCACCTCCACACCTGCTTATGGAGTGGTGGGGGTTAACTCAGGGCTTTATGCAGCTAGGCAACTGTTCTACCAACTGAGCTACATCTCTAGCTCCGTCCTTTAATATTTCAAGTTACCTCTCTGTTAAATCTTACCCACTAATTCCAGAGTCCCTTATCTCTGGGTTTACTTGCTCTGATTTAAAAATCTGATACTAGGTCAGATTTTCTGTTTCTTTACTTAACTACTATTTTATTATCTGCTAAAAAGCAGTATTGTAGTAGAGTTGAGTTTTCTATCTTCTAAGGTGTTGAATTTGTTTTTAGCAGTTGGTATGTTGGATCACGTTTTTCTTGTCAGGGAGTGGTTTAGGAATTGATCAAGATAGGTTATAGAGTTACTCCTGTTCCACAAGACATAGTCCCTCAACAACAACGTGGGCTATCTAGCTCTTAAATGCCTGGGATGTTCTGCCAGGTCCATGTGTGATGCTTGCGTGCGGTCTCCATTTAAGTTCTCAGCTAGGCCTTCAGGAACGAGAAACTTGAGTTAGAATCTGCAGCTTGGTGCTTGGCTAGAGAGAAAGTTTCCTGGGTCTACTGTCTATAGCTGCTTCCTCTGGATACCCTTTTGCAAATTTCTGCTGCTTCTGTGACTCTGAGCTCTGGCCTTTGTTTCCTCCATCCAGCAAGAGAAAGAACTCTACTCATCTTAGCTACAGTGTGGAAAGCCCTCCTGCAGCCAGAAGGATGTGAAGTTTTTCCTTGGGCTGTGTCTCCTTATTCAAGGATCTTCACTGTTGTCCAGTGCCTCCAGACAGATACTTCATCTGTGCTGTCCGGTCTTGTTTTCACTGAGAGGAGGTGGACGACACCCTCTTACTTTCATGACAAAAACTAGCAGTCCAGCCTCCTTTCAGAAGTCCTTAGGAGCAGAGAGATGACTCAGCTAATCAGAACACTGGCTGGTCTGGCAGAGGACCTGGGTTTGGTTCCCAGTGTCCACATAGCTACTCAGAATGGCTTGTAATTCCAGGTCCAGGGAGTCTTGACACCCTCTTCTGGCTTCCAAGGGCAATGCATGCATGTGATATACAAATATACTTGTAAGCAAAACTCATAAACATAAAAATAAACAAATCTTTAAAAAGTACTTCCTTTTAACTGAATTGTCAAACTGGTGATGTTTTATAACCATGTGATTAGCATGATTTAGGATTATAATCTGGTTCAAGATGATTGCCTTCTTAACCTTTTATTTAACGCCTATGTCAATGCAAACCAAGCTCGAGTCAGTCCCTCAACTTCCTATACTCCCAGTCGGCACAAGAGGAGTTATGAAGATGATGAAGATATGGACCTACAGCCCAGTAAACAGAAAGACCAGCATGCAGGTGCCCGGCAGGCAGGTAATGTATGCCCTCAGCTTCCTCCTGACATCTGGGTTTGTTTTCAGGGTTGCTGCCTAATGTAGTTCTAGACTGGGAACTGGTGTGGTGTAATAACCTCAGTTCACATTCATCATAAGTGGATGGTGTTGGTCATAGTGAAGCTGGGCAGGAGAACTTTGGCCTTGAAGGTATGAGGCCCTGATTCCATTCCTAGCAACTGGGGTGGGTGTATTGTGGATACTTTTGAGCATTTTTACAGTGAGTACTCTTTGGAAAGCTGCTCTAATGGATGCTTTTAGTTTCAAGTGGTTGACTGGAAAAAGATCTTTTCTGTCTTCATACTTGTTGTCCCAATTCTTGAACAATAGAATGCATAGTCGTACTTTTTAGTCACCCTGAAAGTGACTTAGCTGAAAACATCCTTCCTTGCTTTCTTTTTAGAACCATGATATTTCTGTTGATTTTTGTTGTTGTTGTTGTTATTGTTTGTTTTGTTTTGTTTTTCAAGACAAAGTTGCTCTGTGTAACAACAGCTCTGGCTGTCCTGGAAATAGCTCTGTTGACCAGGCTGGCCTTGAACTCTCAGACTCACAGAAATCCACCTGCCTCCTGCATACATCACCACCACCACCAGGCTTCTGTTGAATTTTTTAAGGCCAGAAATATCAAAGGAAAAAATGCAAATTGCAAGATGAATTTGTAATTAATTTTTTCTTAAGTACAGCTAATTCTTTTATTTTGGGGGTGGGGGAGTGCTTTTTTTTTTTTGTTTTGTTTTTCTAGATAGGGTTTCTCTGTGTAGCTCTGGCTGTCTTGGAACTCACTCTGTAG